CAGTCACACAGACCAGGGCGTTGTCTTGGGAACCAAATGCTGCTGGTGCTGGGGTGGGGCTTCTGTTGAGCCCTGGGGTTCACTGGGAAGCCATTCAAGGTCCTCCTGCATGCTCAGTTCAGCTGGCTTCTACTTTCCATCCATTACAATGTGTGAGGTTTGGCAGAGTTTGGTTCTCTGTAAAACAGCATCCAACGTTACGGGTCAAAGCTCCCCTTACCACCCATCAGAAGACCTGGCTCTATGAGATCTTTGCCCTTCAGGCAGCTGTGAGCCACTTCTTGGGGAGTCCATGAAAAGGTTTTGAATTTCTTGGGCTTGGCTGGAGCTGTGTGTAAGTACTTCAGTCTGTATAGGAGGAGGTGACCTTCAAAACTAATTGGGCACACAAAGGATCTAAGCAAAAGAGCCTCATCTGGGCTAAATAATGCATAGAAGGTTTGACTTCAGCTTAGAGGGAAATTGAATTAATGTACAGTGATAACATCTCAGTGAACTAATCAAGATAATTGCCATATTCTTGATTTAAACAAATCCATTAATAAGACTTTCCGGATTCTGAAGCAGACAAACAGCAACTGCTAAGAAACTTTGTAAAGGCTGGTAGCAATTTTTTTCAGGTCAAGTTGAAAAGCAGCAACAACAAAGCAGCAAGTAGTCATACAGCATCCTTTGTCTTTGACTGGAGGAGCCGAACAAGAAGTCATTTCCCTGGCTGAGTTTCCAGATCAACTTCCTTTGCTGCTGATTATCGCTGTCACCAGTTCAATGGGAAGGCAAGTCTTTAATTCAGTTACCGGCCAAGCTGGGCTGCATTGCATTAACTGACAGCTAATGTCAAGCTCTCTGCAGAGGCAGGGAAGGCCTATATAATGCTAAAATCCTCAAAGTGGTTGTAGATAGGCCTTGGGGACAGGCTAATTACTGCAGGGAGCTAAGTTTCACTCTCAAATGAAAGGGGAAACTGCACACCATTACACACTGAACCTTACTCAGAGCTAAACCTGACAAAACAGCATTGTTAGAGCAGGCTTGGGTGTAGATGAGTGAAAGCAAGAGCTGTAAGTCCTATGAGCAACTCTGCCACTACCTGAAGACAGCACCAGTTTCATTCCTTTCTCCACAGAAATGAAGGGACTGTGTGCCAGCCCATCCTGAAGCCTTGGAGTACCTGGGTTCCCTGGTGTGCCCTGGAGACAGACCTCCAGTACTGCATCAATGTATCCTGCCTCCTTCTCTCCTCTCCTCTCCATAGTTACACCAATGTGCCCATATGCTCTTTGCAGCCTTATGATAAAGGCTAAGAAATGCCCTGGTAAGAACAGCAACTGGAAGAGAACCAGAGATGCTGGCTATGCTGGTGGGAACTAGATGTTCTTTAAGGTCCCTTCCAATGCAAACTATTCTATGATATAATGATTCTATGATGGACACATATAGTGATGCCACTCTCACATCACCATTGCTCTTTCATGTTGGATGTTTGGTTTTGCACCTCTGTAGACAGTCAGGTAAAGGTAAATCTTGTAAGGATGTTCTTCTTTGGGCCACTAGTGCAGTGTAAACTTGCCAGCTGGATTTACTTTACTCTTAACTTTTTAAACAGTGGTGTCCAGCTTGCCCTGGCCCATAAACAACTATTATGTGCAGTCAGAAACATGAAGCTTTTCCTCCAAGTCAGATTTGATACCTTTATTTCTCTGTCCATGAGCAAAACAGAAATATGAACTTCACCTTTCCCTTCAGCCAGGACTGAAAAATACTCAGAGCACCTTCCAGTTATTCTTGGTAACTAAATCACTTAAACTTTCCCCTGATATTCTGATAGAGAAACCAATAACCTGAAGGTAGTGAATGCTGATTTGGTTTACACCATCTTCTTAAGCTTCTTGGTTATCAAGGAACTTAGACTTCATCCTGCCATGCCTGCACTCATCCCTGCAGTGTGTGTTTGAGTCACACAAATCTTCTGTCTGGTGAGAATATATTTTAAGGAAGGCATTAGAGTCCTGCTCTGAGATACCAAGAAATGGAGAATGTACCACTTTCATGATTGGTCACTCTACCAGTTAGGTCATCTCAGCCTTACAAAACCACACCTTCTTGTCAACTTCAATGTCTCTAGCTTTGCTTTCTCTTACTCTTCTCAGGCCTTTCTCTGCTAGGTTGAGAGTCCCTCTGTAGGCGATAGTTTTGGCTGACATGTTGTGATCTAGACAGTCTCCTTCATGTTGAGATAAATAGATCAAGTCTTTTTACTTCTCCCCATGAATGCATTTTTGTAGAGCTTTTCTGCCCCGACTTCAATTTTCACTATCCTTCATAAATTGCAAACATTGGAACTGACACTATTAGTCACATCATCTTCCTACTACCCACTACAAGTAGAGTGCAATGAGTAAATGTATTATGTTGATTTGTCCATGAAACCAACAAGTTAGACAGATTTGCTGTGGAATTATGCTAAGGATCACACTGAATGACTTGATGCCTTGCTCACTAGAGCTCCTGAGAGTCAATGCTTAGCCCAGTTACATGTGTACCCTTGGCACTAGACATATTTTGTTTAAATGAAACCTACTTCATCAAGCAATCTAAATATCTCACCTTTATTTACTAATTTTCTAATTTTATATTTTTTCCCAGGTTACACATGCAAAACTGGGACAGAATCAATCCCTGCTAATTTACTGATTTGCTTTCCAAGTCCTTAGTGGATAGGATAGGATAGGATAGGATAGGATAGGATAGGATAGGATAGGATAGGATAGGATAGGATGGGATGCGGTGGGGTGGGATAAGACAGCATGAAGGGGGATAGTCTCCAATTCAATCAAGGAAGATTTAGTCTCAGCATACAAAGAAAAGCTTTCTAACAGTAACAATAAAATAGGTAAATATATTGTTATGACTAACAATTTTTATAAATAACTCAGATGACTTTGATAGGATCCATTTGACCAAATTGTAGATATCTGAAATGTAAACATCTGTATCTAAACTCATCATTCTGTACTGCCTTTGCAGAGAGAAACTTTCAGAATACAACTTGTCTCATCCTAAAGCAGACACCTGACATAACTCATAAGAAACTCACCTCGAAAGTGCCTGTTTCTCTTCCCTGCCTATAAAGGGAGGCTGAGGTAACTAATTCAGATATAGGCTTTTACCCCATATTTTTTTAAAGTTGCATCAGAAGCTGTCAGGAACAGTAGAATAGAGATAACTGATCACAGGATTGGATGAGGTATCTCTGAAGGCACATTCCCAATTCTACTTTCAGTGATGCTGTGCTATCATGTAGTGCTGACTTGCTCTAGTCAAGATTTCCACAGTCCAACCACTGGAGAATACTGCCTTCCATTTAGCTCTAAAAAGCTTTCTTATGACTCTTCTAAAGTGCATAAAATGACCAGAATGATGACTTTCACAAATGCTCTATTTTGTTGGACAGCATGTAATAATGGATCACTGTTGTAAATATATCCACAGAATAAGCTGGATTTGAGCTTCTGTCTTATTTCCTTTATATTTTCAGTCGCGCTTTAAAATAAAAGATTATGTTTGAGGTATAAATCTGACCATTATTAGCTGTAATGTTTAGTTTGCTTCAGTGTCTGAGGCTACATCTGTTTTCAAGCATGGGAACTATTGGGTTCTTTGCAAAAAGAAAATATCTCCTTGATTTAGCGCAACAGTCCTGACAATATAGCTGGCTTCCACTCCTATGGAGAAAAACACACTCTTTTTCCTTCCTAAAGCCTCCCTCAAGCAAATCCAATGTAAGAGATGGAAGGATATTAACTTGGATTCACTGAGGAATATTGCTATAGTAATTGCAAGGAGAACATTGATGGAATGCAAACAACATTTCAAAAGAGTCATCACAGAGTTTCCATCAGTTCTTTTCAAGGCAGAATCAGTAACAGTGAGTATTAAGCAAAGAAATTTGAAACTGGGCCTGGAACATTTTAAAGAAAGAAAGCAACTGCATATCAACACATGGATACATGGGTTCAGCCAGCTTTCCTTCCCTAAATCTCTTTCTTTAACAACTTTTTTCTTTGTAATCTTGAGAACTGTCTATTCTAGCCAAATTGGATTCTTAGAATGGGTCTATTATTATGGCAGCTGAACACTTCCAGGTAACCATTCAAACCATATGGGAAATTATGCACTTAAGGAGCATTTCGAAGAGGCTAGACTCGTAAATAAAAATGGAACTAAGGAAGAGGGAGGGAAAAGGGTTCTCAACAGCCGCATTCATTTGCAGATCATCTTTCTGGACTCCATTCAGTTGTCTATTTTTTCTTATTTGATACCAGAAATGTGTTGTCTTCACAGTAATTATAAGCAGGGAATTGCTAACAGTAGTAGAGAAAAGAAGTACAAATCTTCAAGTTGCTGCCATCTCCAGGTTTTTCAATGCCTCTTGTCTCCTCTCTGCTCAAAACACTCTTTGGAGCAGGGATGGTCTTGAACAGTTCCAAGACTACTTTTAAAGCTTAATGAGGAAAATTACAACAATCAGAATTGAGTAACCCGTTAATTACAGAATTGTTTCCAGAGTAAGCTGACATTAGTCACTGCCAGTTGTCATTCTACATCAGACATTTCAAACAAGTACAAAAAAGACACTGTAACATAGGAAGTAGGTAAAAAGCTGTGAAAAAGAGGATCTAATGGAACTTGCCTTTCAAAGCCAAGAAAAATTCTCTGACATGCAACCTAAATCCCGACAGTTAAGAACTGGGTGTCCAAATTACTTAGAAAAACTAAGCAGAAACTCTGTCTGACTCTTGACTTGGTAGAGGGAGTTTATTCAAGCTCTAATACACTTAACTACCAACATCTACTGTTTTTTGTGTGAAATCTAATATTCTCTGTTCTGGTATTTTATTTGGACAATAATTCTGATCAGGGAATTAAATTTTACCAGCCTTGCATGGTTCAGAGAGCATAGAATGAAGTCAGCAGCCCAATATTCATAATATACTTACTCATAAAATGTTGTCCAACCATTTTCATTGCTTTTAGTGGCAAGGAGACCGGAGTTGCCGTGGTAAGTCATCATGGCGACTTCATGCCCCTGTGTTGTTACACTCTTGAGTGCACTGTTGGTACCAATTGTCACCCAGTAGACTTGGCCATCAGGCACCACCAGCCAGAGGGGCATCCCTGTGGAATCTCTTCGGATATTGACTAAATTTCCATTATTATCAGTGATCAGGGTTATATCTCCATCTCCAGAATAAGTAAAATTGTAAAGATAATCTCCAGTGGTAAGGCTCTGGGTATAAAGGTGCTTCCCACTGGTGTCAAACAAGTAGAGTTCCTGGTCTATGGGCGAGGATAACTCATATAGATTTTGTGTGTTGAGGAATGGCTTGTTTTTCCGAATAAAGCGGATTCTGATATTTCCAAGATCAGCGACATACAGCTCCCCATCTGCACACACCGCCAGGGAGGATGGCGCGTTGAGTTTGGCATCCTTGGCATAGCCATCGTCCCCCGAGAAGCAGTCACAGTTAGCATCGTTCTTGCAGTCACAGCTGCTTGGGGCACCGGCCACGAGGGAAATCTCTCCATTGGTGGTGACCTGCCTGATGCGGTTGATCTTCTTCTCGTCGGTCTCAGCAATGTACAGGACTCCGTTATGGGAGACAGCCAGGGCGGTGGCAGACTCCAGTGTGGCATGGATTGCTACCTTGCTGAGGAGAAAGTGATCCATGCCTGGCACCTGGCAATGCATGGGCCTCCCCGCCACGATGCGCACTTGGTGGTTCTCAGAGATCTGTAGCACAACGTTATTGTCGAGGACGTAGAGTGAATTATCCATGGGATTGACTGCCAGATCGGTGGGCCATTCTAGACGAACCTTAATGGGAAAACAACACAAGGGAATTTTTATAGCAACACATTTTTCCACTGCGTGACTGCTATAAATCAATCACAATGAGGATGTTTCAATATGGATTAAAGGGAAAATGGGTAAAAGGAAACACAACTAATTATTACTCCTTGATAGGGTGGCCATAGAGGACAACCTGGACTGAGAGAGCAGGCTTAGCTCCTGGTCATATGAAGTAGACACATGGGGACACCCACACGCTGCATTGGAGCAGCGGTGGGAGCAGGGTGATGGACAGAGGCAAACCATTCTGTGATTTCCCTTCTCCCATGCTTTTTGAATTGATGGAACCTGGACATGATAGCAGAGACCGGGGACCAGAAATTCTGCTGTGTGAAGTGCTATAAAATCAGACACACAAAGTAATGATTTTTTTACTAAAGGCTTTTCCACACAAGTGGCTGAGCTCCTCTGGATAAATGACATGAAGGAATAGACACAAAACTGGTGGCTGTGACAGCATGTGTGTATGTCTAAGTTATAACCACCGATTTTCTGCTTTATGCTGCAAAAATGAAAAGTAGCAATTCACAGAAATTCAGGCAATTTCAATTCATGGAGAAAAATACTTGTGCCTTCATGGTAATTTTCACATTTTGTTTTAGCATAATGGAAGAATAGGTTCAAGAGTGACACATCACAGTTCTACACTGATAATCCATATACACAAATGAACTGAAACAGGACTAGCAGCACCACAAGTGAGCACTAGAAGGTCTTTACTTCTAGCTCTGCTTCTGAAATACACTGTCTTTTCAAGTGAGTCTACTCTTTTAGTTGCCAAATCTAAGAAATGTTTACCAACAGAATTTAGGGTAATTTTTTTAATAAAGAATTCTAAGTTATGCATTTTTTTTTATTATTTTATTTTACTTTGGGTTTACATAAGGAAAAAAAAGGTCAATGTTGTGCTGATGGGAACCAACCAGTTCCAGGATTGTTTCTTTGTTTTGAACCTTCTTCTCCCACCATCCATCTCAGTTGCTGCTTCTTCTCATTTATCCGATGTGACTATATTTAGGGGAGTATTTTGCAACCTTATTGGAAGGAGGAGGAGTAGATGCCAGCAGGCTGCAGTCCAGCAAACCATCTCTCACTGTGATTTTATTTAAAACCATGAACAAGAAGAGACCAGGTAAGATCTGGACGAACACAGGAAATTCCTATTTTTTAAAGCCTGTAGTTGAACATTTCTGCTACAGTCGTGCTTTACTTTTGATGCTTCTCTTCATGTTTAAATCCCTTTTCAACATTTTTTTTTTAAGAGATCAGATGCAAGGTATTTAGTTCATTGTCCCTTCTATTGCCTGGATACGTGAAGCTTATTTTCATGGCTAAACAGTGTGCAGAACTCTGTCTACTCTGGTTCTCTGTTTGCAAAATCTCCTTCCTTTTTCTCAGCTCCTGGCCTATTTTAACCCTTCTTGTAGTAAAACATTATAGCCTGTGGTTTTCTCTTTAATAATTCATGCCTCCATCCCTTCCAGTGGTCTTTAAGCTCTGCAGTTCTGAGTTAGCATCAAGAGCTGAGTTTATTCTGAACTGACAAGGGAATTTTCAATTTCTTAAAAACCATTCCTTGTCAACAGTGGCAGCTAAATATTTCATGTCCTCATGTCCCAGGGAGCCTCAGAGACCTGACAGAAAAGACCCTTCTAGCCACTGTAAATGATGAAAAGCTGCTTCCCAACCTTATTTTTATTTTTTAATTAAACTTGTCTTCAGTGTGTTTCTCCAGAACAGGAGTAGTAGGTAATCTGCCCATCCCAGTACAGGTTAATCTAAAAATAGCTCCTTAATTTTCTGAAGGGAAAAAAAGAGTCTTCAGCTGACACATGTTCACCTCAGAAGTGTTTAAACATGACATTTGTGTACACAGAAGCTACGCAGCCTGAAATTAAATAATTTTTAAAGCCTGATTCCACAATGGTCTTGTGGTAACTGCCCCTGACATTCACATAAAGAAGAAACGATGCTTGTAAGATGAAAAACATACTACAGTGTGGCATTTAACCATCCAAATTTGCTTCTATAGAAGGCACAACAGCTTTTAAACTCATAATTTCATCTTGTTCATAAATTGCAGACAGTGGGAACCAGTTGCAAAGAAGCAAGAATGATTTTTCAAATTAGAGGGAAAAACAAGACAGATTCCTTATGGGAGCACAGAAATTATCTAGGTAGTTACAAAAAGGAAACCCCATTGACATCTATTGTGGCTGAATAACAGTTCTTAGCCCACCAGCTATGATCTATATTTTCATAGGAGAGGACAACATTCCTGCAGCCAGGCAAACAACAAGTGGCACAAAGGTTTCAAAGGACACTGCCCCTGAACTGGCACAATTTGACAAGTTGGCCAAGGCCCCACAAAATCGAGTGTTGGGTTGTAACAGACTTCTCTTCTGCTCCATCCAGAAGTAAAGCAATCATCACACTGAGATTTCTTTTTCTCTCTTTTTTTTCTCTCCACCTCTAAGCAGCAGGACTTAAAAGTCCAGGATGCTGGTAGCTGCAACCAATTTGCAATCTGATGCAATTCAAGATTCTTGTTTTCCTGCTGTTGCTAATTTTGGCATCAAGGCCTCCAATCAGTATTTCCTAGATGTTAATTTGATTCAGGTCTAAAATTATGCTGGGCCAAATTAGGATGAGGGAAAAAGAAAAAAAACCTGTGGTTAGCTAAGATGCCAGAGCATGGCAAATAGTCCTACTGAAATGGGTACTGCTGCTGAGTCTTTTTAGTTTAAAGCAACTCATTTCTTGATAAATGAGCCTAAAAAAATCCTGTCTTTCTAGGAATCTCTGTCTTCCCACTGACTGGGAGCTCTGAAAGAAGTGTCTTCTGTGCTTGGGACATCTTTAAAATATCACTTACCAGAAATCTATGAATTAGGTCAGTCAGGAGTTTCCTGCATCTCTAAAGGATCTTTTTGATTCAGTCATTTTTATATCACAAAATATGTAGAAATGGAATTCTTGAGCCCTTAACTCTTTGACCTGGGGAGGCACACAGCTGTGTAGACAGGGTAAAGGCATAAGCTTCTATTCTATAGAAACACAACCAAAACACTGTCTTACCTGAGAAATGTCCATAACAGAGTCACAACTGAGAGGTCGAGCAGACGTCAAGTCATTGGAACCCAACACAGTTGAGATGATTCCATTCTGATCAATCCGCCTGATCATAGTGCCATCTACAAAGTAAATCAGCCCAAACTTGTCCACAGTGATGCCTGGGGAGGAACAAAGCAAGACAGTCAGAAAGTGATGGCAACCTGACATGAGATGAATAGAAGATGGTGTGTGGTTTGATGATCATGAAAGAAACTGCTGGTTTGCTTGGGAGCAATTTATTTTATTAAAAGGGATGAGATGAGAGTTGGGCACGTGGGAGTCCTGGTTATCAAGAGCTTTGAATTGGCACCATTCCATAGAAGGCACTTCCAAATGGCATGTGAGGCAATTCAGAAATCCCTGCTCGCTTCTGGAAAAGGGCATGGTATTCAGTGAACTGCTGAAAGGAAAAGCTTTTCTAATAACTGTGTGTCTTGCATTTTCAGAAACCTGGTTTTATTGCTTATGGTATGAATGCTAAGCCATGCACATAAAAACGTTACACTGGTGAATCTTTCAAAACTGATGATGACAAAGGCTGTGAAATATCCATCAGGTCAATCAAATTCCAGATGGATAAATAAGGAAGGATTTTCCCTAAAATAACCCTACTAATCTACAGTGTTTCACGTGCTTTTGAACTCTGCTAGTGATTCATTCATTGTCCAGACCTCCTCTGTAGACGTATTCCTGTCAGTGGATTTGAGGTCTGCTGACAGCAGTTACAGGCTGCTGATTCTCATTTCCTCACCTGCAGATATGTGCCATTTCACCTCCCCCTAAGCATCATTTCTCATGTATTTGTTATCGTAGCACAACCTCCTTTAATCCTCTTTATTCTGGGCTAGCTACCCTCTGCATCTTCCATCAGAGGATTTCATAGTGCTTTACACTTACTAATTAGATCTCATACCAGTCTGTGAGTGTGATCATCCTAATTTTACATATCACGAAAGTAACAGATAAAGCAATTCTCACAAGGTCACAGAGAAAGTTCATGACTAAGGCAGGAATAAGAAGTTAAAGGCTTTGTTCACCTCTTCTTTATGCTAGTATAAATTAAAATAACTCCATAGATACTAATAGAGTCATCCATCTCACCTACCCTACAGTGGCAGAATGCCACTCAGCATAATGTTTGAGTGTCTTAAAGACACTAAAAGACTGTAAAGGAACAGAAAATTAATGTAGAAGCCTGTAACATCCTTTTCTATGCAAGGGAGAATTCTACTTGGAATACACAAATATTAGGATCTTCCTGTTTGGTTTCTTTCACTCTCAGGGTAACAATCACTTGGCAAAAACAGACATCTGCACTGTGCATCTAAGCAAGTATTTGGAGCTTTTCCAATCAGTGGAGAGAAAAATCTACTTTGAGAGTGCAATTCATATCTCCCTAAAGCACATATCCCCAGGAGATTATATGAATCCTGCTAGAAATACCTTTTCTCCCCATTGAGTATAAAAGGAGACTACAGCAAATATCTCCAAAGGAAACATTTATTTTGTAGGCAGATTAAATTAGTGAGCTGAATCCTCACTAGACTGTTTTTTTGGCTGTTATCATGGTGACAGAAATGATGGAAAATCTGTTTCAGATAGAAAGCTTTTAGAATGTTTGAGGAGTGATCAGATCTTGTGTTTCTCCAAAATGCTGTTTTACAGCCAGATCCCCTTGTTTGAAACATTTACCCTCAGTCTCCATGCACTGTGAGCTCTGCTATGAAGTACAGATGCAGCAGTTTACAGATCAAAAATTCTAGATTTTCCTAGAGCAGGGACTAATCCTCTGATTGCTTTGGCAATTAAAAGCATGGCCTTCAGCCAGTGCTGTAACTATTGCATGGGCTGGAAGCAATGGGGATAGGTAATATGTGGAAAAACATATCATATTTGGTTATATGGAAATCCACAGAAGATAATCTGGCCTGGAAGGAAAACCTCAGACCTAAGTCATTGCTTGAGAGACAGAACAAACTTCTCCATTGGGCTGAGGAAAAGGAAGGGATTCAGACATGGTTGCAACCTGTTAATTCAAAGTCAATTAGGAGTCTGGGAACTGATGTTTCAGGTCACTGAGCTGAATGGGAGCCGTTTGTTATTGCCAGGAGGTAAAACCAGCATTTTGTTACTTCTTTGTAACATCTACTTGTTTGAAGGGCATCATTTTGACCTGGATTGGATAGTTGACCATGAGAGCAGTGTGGTTTCAGAATAGCATCTAGGGCAGTGAGGAAAAAAATTACTTGCTGCTTTCAAGATAAAGTTCATTAATTTTAGAGGGGATTATATAGCAGGATTGCTGAGATAATGGATGACAGGACTGAATGACCTGAAAGATTGCTTCTAGTCTTACACTCTAATACCTATGTTTAACTCATGCCAAGATAGGACTGATCTTTGCAGGACCATGAAACAAGAGTCTCAAAGAGGAGCAGAAGGTAACAGCTGCACATATAAATTTACTGAGGGTGGTGAGGCCCTGGCAAAGGTTTCCCAAAGAAATTGTGGCTGCCCTATCCCATGAAGTATTCAAGCACAGGTTGGACGGGGCTCTGAGCAACCTGGAAGGTGTTCCTGCCCATGTCAGGGGGATTGGAACTAGATGATCTGTACAGTCCCTTCCAACCCAACCATTCTGTGATTTGATAAGTGTTATGGGAGAAGTCACAGTAGTGGTGCTCACTTGTTCTCACTATACAATAAAAATACATCAGTTGTATCTTAGCACTTTGTCAAGTGCTTGCAGAGGGATCTGACAGTACAAGCATCAATATCTCACTGGCATCCATGGCTTTCTGGAAGCTGTCTTCACCTACCATGAGATGTGTCAGCACTGTGCCCTGGCTGGTGCCCTGTCCAATGAGTCATCCAGGATACTGGCACATGTCACCTGTTGCTGGCATCTGCTGTTGGAGGTTACTGCTCCTCTAATTATTTTGCCAGCATAAGGGCAAGTTCTTTCATGTTTGCTGGTACTTGCTTGACAACTAGGAACACAACTGAGCTCTTTAAGCAATATGGTAGATGTGCTTTTTAGGAAGAGGCATGATAGAGGGTTTAGTTGATCTTAACTGGCTTTTATCAAACACGAGAGTCTCTTACTCATTTCTTGGTTCACAACAAGTATTTTTTAGGGTGTCTTTCCATTAGTTTGTGTGACAAGCCAAAAGCCAGTGAAGGGTGGCAGGCTGGATAATGTGATTTTAACTGAGGCAGAATTTTCTCTCTTACCTAGTTCCATATGTATTGGATTGGACTTATCAGCAGTGTATGCTGACAGTCGCTCAGTGTGTGCAATGCCGGGGTTTGATGGCTGATCTGATTACCCAGTTACAGCAATAATAACTTGGACACACTTTGGTTCTTGAGCCAGCTCTGATCACGTGATAGAGCACAACCTCATTTTGCATTCCAGCTTAGACAAAGAGCTTACACACCTGAGTAAGTTAAAGTGGGATAGCAAAGTTACTGCTTATCACCCTGCTCCAGGGCAATGGCATGTATATGTGTTCTTATCACAGAGCACTTTTCTGTTTATCCCTCTTTCATGGAGGTTAAGCAATCTCAATTGCCTCACATTTCCTGAGATGTTCTCCAGGGAAGCAGAGTTTCCAGTTTGCCAAAGCCCCAAATTCCTATTTGCACATGCTCCTCACATGGCATCTACTCCAATTCCTTCCTAACTTAAGCTGATTGTCTTGGAATCAAAATTAATTACAGAGAGGAGCCCTGCTCTCCCACAGACAAGTCTTTGGATGGATGACTTCTGTGAAGAGGAAGAGAAGCATCTCATGCTTTCTTTGCAGCAGATTGTAGAGGTTAGATTGGACCTTTCTGTGTTTCCTTTCTGATAATGGCACAATTCCAGTGCTGAGAGCTGGCTCCTGCAAATGGGCACAGAAATGGGTAATACACATGTTACACTTGTTAAGCCAAAGGCCTTGGCATGTTTTGGCAGAAGGCCCCTCTCATGTTTCCATAGGAACACAAGGGAATTAAAGATTTTCAGCATATAGCTCAAAGCTCAACCTCACAGCTTCTGAGAGGAAACATCTGCTGCCACTACCCAGGTAGCGTTGCAGAACTTTAGGTTCTGAGATATGAAATACATACATTACGAAATCATGCTGGCTCCCCTTGGATAAACAGAGATCTCTTAAGAAACAAGGGCTTGTAGCCCCATTTGCATCACACCAGAGAGCTGTGATGATAGAAAGTTGTGACATGATGACATTTGCTTGAAATGTCAGGACCTTGTAGCATGAAGAGGTGACACCACAATGTTATGCTTCAAATAGCTACTGGTACATGGTGAGTTTGTCCTAGAATACAAACTGCTAGAAGTGATTACATTGTGCATCTAGCTCTAGTTAGGAAAAACAGAAAGGGAAAAAAAACCTTTTAACTAAAAAAAAGGTGCTTAAAGACATCTAAATTTAAAGCTTTCTTGTCTGACTGGATGCTGAATGACTGAGTCATAAAATGGTAGATGAAAATCAATGTCAATAAGTACAGAGGAATTCACAGGGGAAGGGGAAAGCCCAACTACCCATATGCAATGACAATCTGAAAAAGAGCTCACAGGAATTCCCACAAAAAGTTTTCTGCAAAGATCAGCTTTGTGCTCTGCACTAGTCAAGGAGGGAACTATAGGTAAAGATTAGGAAAGGCACAGGGAGAAGAACAGTTAACAGTGATCTGGCCTCAAAAGAACCACCCTTTTTCATGACCTCGTTAATGAAATTGTGGAAATTATTAGCACAGGGTGCCTGGAAGAACAAAATTAGGTGTTTAGGGAGGTTCCTAAGCCAATTTATGGTGGCATCTAAGCATAGGTCCAAGTGCAATCTCTTCAGAAAGTCCCCTAGATGTTGATGACTAGCATCTGGAGTGACAGCAGAGAAAGACCCCTCTATCATTGACCACTCATGTGAGACCATTCACACATTTCCCTGTGTGACTTTTTGGCCACAGTAAGAGACAAGATATTTTCTTCCCTCAGCCTCTGGTCTTCCCTGAAATGGTCCTTCTATTATTATCTGATAATGAAAATGTTAACAGATTCTGGAGGGTTGAGTTTTTTCATTTAATTCTGTCAAACTCTTGAACACTTAGCAAACAACTGAGATTTTGTTTACACATTCAGCAGGACACAGTGAAGGAAGCAATCTGTCCCCAAATTAATTACTTCATTTTGCATTGGTGTTATGGTGCTAAATGAATGAGATGCCCTCTCCCTCCCCATGTCCCTTCTGAAGCCTTCTTCCTATTTTGTCAGTCTTGTCACTGCAATTTCTCTTAATTGCAGGCTCCATGGTAATTTCTCTGCCACAACATTTTCCCGAGAAGAACCACTGGTGAGTACTCAGATGAAAAGAAATGCTTTGACAAGCTGAAGTTTTAATTTTTCTTTAGATTGCTTGTAGAAGAGGATCATTATTAGCAGATTATAATTAGGAAGTGGTAACACTTTAATTTGCAAGGATATATTGAAATTCATTAGCATCCAAAAGCTTTGCTGTGCACTGTGGCAAATGAATTGGAAATATCAGACTGGTTCCTAATAGCTGTGATAAATACCCTGACCAAACCACTGCCACCCCTATTTCATCCATGGATCTACCTGTCCTATGTTTGTGTAGCCTACCTTTAATAGAGAAGCCAAAGATAGGTGAAGTGTGAAATTCTTGTAGGGTTTTATCTCTCGTAATGTCTTTTCTAAGCTGATCATCTAAAGGGAGTTTTCTCTCCTTCAGTGAAGTGAGACAAGAACCTCTATCCAGAAGGTACTTCAAAGAAATGTATTGACAGGATAAGGAATAATGGTTTTGAACTAAACCAGGGTGGATTTAGATTATAGATTAGGAAGAAATTTTTCCCTGTCATGGTGGTCATGGTGGTGAGGCATTGAACAGCTTGCCCAGAGAAGCTGTGGCTGCCCCATCCCTGAAAGTGTTCAAGGACATGTTGGATAGAGTTTTGAGCAAGCTGGCCTATTAGAAGGTGTCCCTGCCCATGTCAGGGCGGTTGGAACTAGATAATCTTCGAAGGTTCCTTCCAACCCAAACCATTTAATGATTCTAAGAAATTATCCACTCTGAACTCAGGGGAGTTGAGGTGAGAACTGGAAGAAATGATCAAAACTATGGGGAAAAGGTTGCTGCTCAGAAAGTAGAGAACCATTCTGAACAATGTTTGCTGCAGTGGGGACCTCATTCTTCAGGCTATCAGATCCAGGAGGAGACCTGTATTCCCAGAATGTGGTTCATACCACCTTGAATACATGCATTGGCATAGAACAAACCACCTTCAGGGTACTAGTTTCTTTCCACTGACAAGAGAGCCAAAAAATCTGCTTAGACCAGAGGTTTGGCTGGTCCAAGAGGCTAAAAGTATATTCAAAAGTACATGTTGACAACTCATGACTGATTCTGCATGAATTGCAGTTTTTCGTCTGGCAGGAGGGTATTCCCTCAGTCTTTTCCAGCAAGCTGCAAATATCAGCTAATTAAAACATCATGAAAGGCAAGACTTTGATTCCTTAAAATTTTTGAAAAAGTGAAAAGTTGTCCTTAAAATACAGAAATCCTACTTTGCATGAAGCAATTATGTTCAGAGAAAAAAGCAGCTCTAGCCTTAAAAAGTAGAGTCTTGTGAAGAGCTTGAGAATTCTTGAAGAACTGAACTTTCTAAGTCCTTCCCTGGCCACCTGATATCTCCCACAGCTACAGAATTGTTTCCAAATTTCCTCTGACCATTTTCTTATGAGTGTTTATTTGCCTGCCAAGACAGGGAAGCAGAGGGTCACCTGAGAGCACTGGTTACTTTTACAATAAATCATTTTTATTTTGAACTATTATGAAATACGATCATATGAAGGAAGAGCATTTCTAGTTTTTCCTGCTGGGATGAACACCATGAAACTATACACAATGGTGACGTTACATTGTCAGCACGAGTTTACACTGCTCATCGTTTATTGAGTTGAATGGGGAGTGAGTCATGCCTGTCACAGCGATTGCCTCAGCAGACTTTGCAAACTCAGGTTAGAATCAGATCAGGGAACACTGTTTAGGAACTTTGCAATGGCAGTGTGGGCTTTCTGGATTATTATTTTCTTGTTGTCATTCTGTTTTGCGTAATTTCCTCTTTTACCCTCCATTTACTTCTGTTTAGTGGAATTTTGAAGCTGTGAAGAATGAATGCATGAACTACTTGAGAATCTTGCTGTTATAAGATTGAGGTGGGAGACGAGCCTCCTGAGCGCTTCGATTGCCAACAAGAAGGATTTCAGTGCTGAAAGCTTTGAACTCTGTTTGCTATAGCAAAGCAGAAACATAAGTCATCTAAACCTTGCAATATCCACCCACGGAGGGAAATGAATAATATTCTTCTTGTCTTGTACAAGAGAGAAAAGAAGTCCAACAAAAGTTGTGGGTTATTTTTTTTTGGCACTGGTTGAAGTTCAAAATGGTGCAGTAAGCTGGATTACAAATTTCTGGATTCCCTGATCTCATAACTCATCTGCTGGACTGCCTGAATCTCTCTGCCCAAGTCACTTTTTTTTTCTTTTCACTCAGCCTTCTCATTTCAGTGAGACCATTTCTATACTGCCACCTGACGACAAGTAGTTGTTCCCTTTCTATACCTGTGCTTCTGGCAATACTTTAGCCCAATATAATGGTCAACTCGTGTGATTCTGGAGTGCTTGGAAACCATGACAGGCTCTTTGAACATTACAAGCGTAGAAGTTTGGCTTTTGATGCTTTTTGGCAAAGAAAACAGGTTTCCCGAGGTATATTTTTCTGCATCCTGCCAGGAAACAGATAGCCAACATGTAACTAAAAAAAAATTTAAAAAATCACAACTAGACCTGACACAAAAGGTCACTAAATCAGTATGGGTTTCTTGGATTCAGTAACAACAATGTCATCTCCATGTCATGAGAAATAACTTCCTAAGAACTATGGAATCATTGAATGGTTTGGGTTGGAGGGCACCTTAAAGATCATCTGGTTCCCAACCCCTGCCATGGGCAGGGACACCTTTCTACTAGGCCAGGTTGCTCAAAGCCTCATCCTGGCCTTGAACAACTTCCAGGGATGGGGCATCCACAGCTCCTCTGAGCAACCTGTGCCAGTGCTTTACCACCCTCACAGTAAAGAATTACTTCTTTATATATAATATAAACATGCCCTTCAGTTTGCAGCTATTCCTCCTTGCCCTATCACTCCACGCCCTTATCAAAAATCCCTCTCTACCTCTCTTGGAGCCCCTTTAGGCACTGGAAGGGTCTCTAAGGTCTCCCCAGAGCCTTCTCTTCTTCAGACTGAACTACTCCAACTGTCTTTGCCTGTCTCCATAGTCTAGCCAAGAAAAGAAACAACAACTCAGCGGACTTCATCTTGTCTGCTCTTAATGAAATAACTTACCATAGAATCATAGAATGGTTTGGGTTTGAAGAGGCCATTAAAAGCCATCTAGTCCAAACCCCCTGCTGTGGGCACGGACATTTGTTAAATGATTCCCAGGTTTTGCTGGTAGATTGCTTTACAAAGAGGTTGGGATAAGCTTGGACACTGCTGTGGCGAGGAAGGAGGGGACTACCACCCCCTGACGCAATGGAAAAGAAAACCTGCAGCACACTGATGTCAAAGCCAAGAACCTATAAATGACTCCTCACACTCTTAACAGCTGGGCAAAAGAAGACATATAACAGGCAAAAATGCCATATCTCAAACAACATTCCTGCATGGGCATCCTTCTCATCCCTCTACATAGACACTGTTGAAAGTGTGTGCAACAACAGTACCTTCCACCTCATCTCTATACCTCCTGAGTGTTTTTTTTCCAAGGAGCTGTGGACAGCTGGGAGGAGCGACATCCTCCATCTGCAGAGCTTGTTACCTTGAGACTGCCAGACTGAAGTCTTGGCTACACACAGGAGTGCATATGTTTGGCTAAACCTGTTTTGAACAATTTATTTCACAGTCATGAAGGCTGTGTGATGCTTTTATTCAGATTTGACTGTGCTTTTATCTCATTTCAGTATGTTTGAACCAGGTGAAATTACGCTGAATTGGACCATTACCATATCAAAATTAGTATCCACCCCTATAGGATTTAAGCTGGATGCCATGACATATAACATAAATGTCTGAACCTCAGTTTACATATCTCTGAGCTGTATGTTGGTTTTGCTGCCATTTTATATATATATCTATGTCAGTGGTTATAAAACTTTTTTTTTAATGCCAAGAAAGCCTCAGTTAGCTTCACTAACTGGACGTTAGTGAATCCAGTCCAGGTTGGGATGGACCAAGCGCTGCTGGTAAGGAGGAGTAGTGGCTAAATGGCTATAAAAGAGATGGATGGATTTATTCTATTGCCCTATGGGCATGTGCCCATCACTACACCCCTCTGGTTTGGCACTCCTCCCAGCCACATCAATATGAAGAACCAGGACAGGACTGGCTGAGGGTGAGACATAATTATTTCCAGAAGCAAGCCCTTAGGATGTGTTTGTGGGGAAGGCTTGCAAAATCTGAGAGTATTTTCTGGACTGGAAAGGAGAGCAGTCTCCAGTGTGACTAAACAACCTACTTTCAAGAAGATCCCTTTAAAAAGCCTGGGAAGAAGAAGCAGTCTCACCCCTGGGATTTGTAAGGGTGGCATCAGTGCCTTTGCCTCCATCTCCGCAGCGGGTATCATCGAATGGGAGGCACTGATCCCCAGTTCCAGCCAAAACCTCTGAATTCTTCACAATGTCTTTCACTGATGTGGTTGACTTGATTTTATAGATACGTCGGCTGTTGGTGTCGGAGAGGTAGATGGAGCCGGTGATTGGATCTGTGGTCAAGTAATACTTATGAGCTGGGCTGTGGCTGAAAAACAAGGGTATGACAGTATTAATTTTTTGGATTATTTGTTTCCTTGAGACAACAGGCAATGCAAGCACTTTAGAGAGTAAAAACACACAGGGCAGAGAAACACTGGGAAAGTGAAGGAGTGCTGTATCGGATAATGTTAGAACAGGGTGTGTTAAAGCACAGGATCCTGATTGCTGTGTCAGGAGTGCTCTCTAGCATGGAGGGAAGCAACCAAAGGAAAGGGCTCTCTGACCTGAGCCAAAATCATGCCAGGAACTACCAAAGGTTGAGTCCCAGTGACTGTGTTTGCTTAATTTGCTTGTTATAGCTATAGTCCTGAAACCGGTGTTAGTGCAGTGCCAGAAAGTGAAGGGAAATGAACACTAGGGAAATAGAACAAATAATAATTAAAAAAAAAAATCTGCCCTCCCAACAAAGATCCTAATGCAAACCCTAAAAGCACTCTCCCTGTATAAAGCATCTGAAGATACATCCTGCAAGATCACTTCATCAAGGCTCATTTGGTGCTCTTGCTGACTCCAGAAAAGATTCTGAAGTGCTGTACTGCCCTGGCAAAGATTAAGGGAATCCTACCGCTGAATTCAGTTGGCCCTCAATGATGAGAGAAACAAAATAATTCCCTGAGTGGCACATTTTTCCCCAAGTAATGCATGAACTGGGATTAGGCTGAGGAACCCTAATATTGGTCCCCTGTTAAACCCCATTCGCTCACTGCTTCCTTGGACATAAAAAAAGGGTGGCTGAGGAAACAGCGTGAGCAGACAGAATGATAATGTTTTTAGCTCCACAACTGCAACACTAAATGAGCTCAAGACTGAAGAAATTAATAGACTAGAATCCACCTCATGGAAAGCATCCAATGGGACTGGCCATTAAAAAACAACCAGATGAGTTTAGACATAACTTAAAAAACTGTTTTGCAAGAATTTTACCTATAGTTTAATATAGATACTTAAGCTATTAACTTCCTTTATTAAGTGTTTACTACTAGTGTGTACTGAACTGTATCTCTTCTAAGCCTGAAACCAACGGATTAGACTTGTAACCCCTGCTGCATAGGTCTCCTTCCTTTTAAGGAAAGGCTAAGTAATAATTAGAACAAGTATGAAAGTGTCTACTTGTCATGGTTTGAGAGCCTCAAAACTTCAAGGGTCACCACCCCCTGGGGTTTTACCATTTTATAACTTCAGGGGGGAAAACTGTTTCCCCCCACCACACTACTATTCTCCAGAACACTTTCAAGCTGTCCAAACTCATCAAGTCCCAAGAATTCATAAAAAAAATCTAGACCATAGTTCACTATTTTGCACTTAGTGGAACTGTTCCAGGAGAAGATGGTTAGAGACTTGAGTGTCAATCATAGTTGACTCTATTCCTTATAATAAGAGAATTCTTTTGTCTTTCAACCTTTATGTTAGGAAAATAAACCATTCTTCAGACATGTAAAAACTAGTGAATTATGCTCGGCTTAAAAAAGCAGTAAGTTAGATCTTCATTCAAATTACTTAATACTTTATGGGGGAGAGGGCAAAGCACCTTTCTGATTTATTCTTGAATAACCCTTGTGGTTTATCTTACCAAAGTCTGAACAGATTTCATCTCCGCAAATGACACTGATTCTTGCTAAATAAAATGCTCTGACCTTCGAGACAGCTCCAGCCTGACAGTTCAGTCACCATCTCTATTCCTTCCCAATGACAGCAGGCTGGGAGGGTATTATTTCATTTACCTGCATGTCACTCACACTAAGGAACTGGCTTCAACCCCGGTGGAAGAAGTTCCCTGTGGGAATCCATCATCCATTTTGATCAGGGCCTTAAATTTTCTGCTGACTGTCCTAACAAAGCCCAGCTGAAAGTCAGCTTTTGAGCTGTTCATAATCTGTATTTTGCATGACAGGTGGACAAGAGGAGGACAGTTTTGATGGCACACTGTAATCCTCTAGCATCTTTGCCTGTCAAGCACAGAAACCTTTCCCTGAGTCTTACACTAGGCTATCAGCAGATGGGCAAAGGCAAATTTTGACTTCCTCAAAGAAGAAGAAAAATGTGGGCAGAAATGGAAGTTCCTGCTCCCCTCTCCCACCACTATCATTGTGATTTATTTTGGATTTCACAGCCTCACTCTGGTGCATTTTATTATTGATTACAACCTTCTGTAAAAAAGAAAGATCTTAAAACTCTTTCCTATTCCCAGCTCCTGTGCAGAATAGACACTAAAACAAACTGTTGACAATAGTCAAGCTGGAATTTACTCCACTAGCCTCTGCCAACAGTTTTCAATGCTATATGGGGAAGGTGTCTGCCCTTGCACGAATTGCACAGTGTTACACACTGAATCTTTTCTTTATCACTTTCAGATCTTTCAGGATGAGAGATGTTAAATAAACATGTTAGTCATGTAAAAACTCCCAGACTGCTTCCCTTCATCTGTGATAATGCACGAGCACTGCAGCCAGGAACACTGGGCCTTTGTTTTTTATTTAAAGCCACAATCAATAGGCAAATCTAAGTGGTAAATTGGACTGAACTGAACAACAACTGAAATAAATCTGCCTGGGGTGAAGCAGAGAAGACTTTCATCCTCTCTCATTGCTCAGCTAGACAACGGCCCAAAACAGAAGACAGGACTTTTTACTATTCAGTAAATATAATCAGTTACAGTATTTGTAGTCTTAGAATATTTATCCCTCATATTGACACTACTACTAGAAAAGGACTGTGGGGGAAGAGCTGATATCCCATTCAGAGTGTTCCTTTAGCTATTACACTTTTGTTAGAAGAAAGCCCTAGCATTGCATTGATATTTTAAGCCCCGGAAGCAACAACCTGAAGTTTCAGGGATGGGGTGGGCTGGTCCCCAGCCAAGAACAGACACTTCAGTGGGTATTTGTGGGCACGATGGTGTAGTCACTGGGAATGAGGACAGTTTCATAGGCAGAAGTTCTGCAGGCCAAAGTGAAATGGAGGTGATATTGCTTTCCTGAATGCTTGTGATACAGTGATGTGCTGGCAAATTATAGGGAAAGCTTCCAAGTCCACAGTGATCCCTGTTGTTCAGGGTTGCATATAGGCTCTCCCACACATCTGTCTTGCCCCCTTACATTTTCATTCTCATTGTCGGGACAGGATCGTACCAGTACCATTTGGGGAACTCTGCAGGTACACCAAGGAACTCAAACTCCATTTTAAAGTGCTTGTGCTTTACATGATTCCTTATACAGACACATGGGGAAGGAAAGGGACAAAAAGTTGGGTGAACATGCAGAGATGTGACACTTATGGATTGCTTCAGCTGTACTATGATAGATGCACAGGCTTTGAGCAAAGGCTGATATTATCTCTTTGGGCCCAGAGCCCATGTTTTGGAGGAGTCTGAGGAAGGAACCTCCTGCTCCAGAGTGGGAAGCCAGTGAGAAAAGGGACAGGGTTCCTGGTTTCAGCCAGTTCCTTACAGTACGTCAGCACAGCAAACCGCACCTTTTCATTGGCTTCTCTAAAATGCCAGGGTATTCATAGCACCAAGCTTCAGATGGTTACAAGGTCGATGCCTAGTATCAGATGGTATCAGAGCTGGCTGCCTTAACTCTCTTTACAGGCAGTGGAGAGAAATATAGTCTTTTTGGGTAAGACTTGCCTAACTATTTTCAACATTTATTTTACAAGATGAACTGCATCTTAGTTTCTCAAATACAAAAGCATCTACCACCTTCTCCAAGGACAACTTTTATTATTGGTAACAGTACAGCTCTGGCTCCCACTGTGGTCAACAGACAAGAGCAGTCACACACCAGAGTTATTTACCCATAAACCACTGATCTGAATAAACCCCTGGGGCTTCTTTAAATCTGATGTCCCTCTTCAAAGACATGAAACCAACTCTAACATTTTCTGTGCCAGCTACCCACTTCCCCTGTGAGCGTTGCTGGCCACATGCATTTGCTGGTGACTAAAGAACTACCAAATTCCTGCAGCCAACCGGCTTTTGTTCAGTGGGGCTGTTTCCATGGCTCCATGCTAAGCACCCTGCAGCTCAAAACCAGAGGATTTTATTGTAGCTTGTGTGAGGTACTGGTCTTTTTTCCCTGGATGACATTCAGTAGATTAATAAGGAGGCCACACAGCGCAGTGAGCTGAATTTACTCTTGGTCTTTTAGTGTTTGCAGTTTGTGTGTGATGCCCAAAGCTCTTCTAGTGTCACACACTGGATAATAAAACTTTATAACAGTGCCATAAGCCAAGCCAGCGACCGCAAAACACTTTTGATCTGATCCTAGGGCAGTTTTCTGGGATCTCTCTCTTTGCCACTAATTGTAGATTTGTCTCTCTAAGGTATGAATGGAAACAAGAAAGGAAGAATAAATTAAAGTGTGGCCACTTTTTGCATATTTTCAAGACAGAAATGCCTCACTGCCCTCCACGTTCCTGCAGAGCAGGTATCATTATTTGGTGATGCTTTTTGACTTTCCCTTTCCCTTGCACTGAGGAAGCTTTTGCATATGAATTTCAGCTTTTCCAAAACACTAAGACTCAGTCCTGTGGATCTCACCCTTTGCACTGTAGACCTTCATCGGTGTTAAGTTTAGGAGCTTCCAGTTCAGAGCACTTGAGCTTTAGCTGAGACTAAACCCACTCATTTCCCTGTGGCTCAGGAATGAAGACGCTTCCTAACAAGAAATATTATGGCAAATGACACAGAATAGACACTAACTCAGACAGGTGACTCCCTTAATGTAGTAACAGATGGGAGTATTTGATCCGGATCTCCTCACCTCCTCCCTCCCTGATTCCCCTTTGGCCTGCATTGGAGCAGGCATGTCTTGGATTTCTTTCACCTAATCTCTCAGCATTTAGGAACTGCCTAAATGCTGAAGCCCTACCAAATTTGTAAGGCTCTGATGGCATCTACAACATTTGTGACCATCCATATTTCTTCCCTGAGTTACTGCTTTCGTATATAAAACCTCTTCTCAAAACAGGTATTCAGATGCTGCCCTTCACAGACAAAGCAGGTGCACTTTAGTGGCTGTGTACTTCTTGGGCATTAAGGATATAACCTGGCTGTTCCAAAGAGAAATGAGTTTTTCTATTGCCTTCAAATGATGTGAAAGAGGAGCTGGGGGCTGGAACTCAGCCTGATGAAGACAGTCAGTGAAAAGGTCTTGAGTACCAACCTCCCAGCCCTGCTAATAGACGCTTTGGGCCAGTCCATTATGCCGTGAAGCTCAGCCCTTCATTATTGTTCTGGCAATAAGACAAAAACCCAGCTTCTACTCCATTTCATTTCCAGGCATGCAGATAAAAGGAACATTTCTGGTTTTGCATAGCCTCTATGAAGTCAAAGAAGCAGTACATGAAAAGCATGTAGCAAGAAAAATCCCCAATCCCAAATACAAAAGAAAACTAAACACACACACGCAAAAAAATCCCAGCTCCACAGTCTAAGCTTCTAATTTAGAAAAGCAACCAGGGAGAAGGATGGGAAACCTGTCAGAGTCAGAGAAGTCGTTGTAAACACAGGCAGTGACAGGAATTTGACATCTTCCGGAATGAAACTGATTGGATCAAACCCACTGAAACTCCAGTGAACCCAAGTGACAAATATTCTTAGTGACAAAGCTCCAATTTAGGAGTCTTTCTTTCATCTTGTTTTCTTGTCATTACTCTTTTTTATTGCATTTCCTGGCTAAGGTTCTGAGTTGCACTACCTCCTATCTGAGCCTGACAGACTTTCACGTGCCAAAGCTCTCTATGAAGAACTCAGACTGAAAAAGTTACAAAAACTTACTTCCCCCAGGGGGTGGTGCTGGGGGACATATGGATCTTCATTATGCCCATGAAACGCCCCAAACTCAAAAGGAAGAGTTTTCACTGTATGAGAATTATTTTTGCATCCTAGCTATTCCAGTGACCTGTATCCTGATGCTGTTCCCATTGTACTTTCTTGGTTAATTCCCACCCATTTTTCCTTCCCCCCCTCCTCCTCTCGTTACCCTGCTTCTCCTGCCTGTACTTCCCCTGTCTCCAGCTATAACAGCTCATGCAGAAGCCTGCACAGCTCAGCATTGTGATTAATGGCTCCCAGTTCTGATGACTGATTGCCTATGCCAGTTTTAATCATGCCAGCTTCATTTGCTATTGAATCATCTGGAAATGGCACTTGTGGCTCACTGTGTAACAACATGCAACAAGACAGGGAGCAGCATAAGAATTCTCCACTGGTTGGCTTACCTATGTCTGAAATCTTTATTTCTGACAGAAGACAGGAAAGCAGGGAATAGAAGAAAGAATGAGGTGTTAGCAGCTTGGTTCGATGCATTATTAGCAGATTGAAAACTTGACAGTAACTGTATCATACAATGCAATAATAAATAAAGACTTAGCTGGAATGACACTGATGTATTTTATATTGGATATTACTTGGCAGTGAGCTCACTTATGTACTGCTGCATATCACAAAGGAAGTGTGATCTCACCTGCTTGGAGTTATTCACTTACGTAAGAGATAGGACCAGGCAGATTTTATCATTGAGTGCAGCACTGAACTAAACAGATGTAGATGCAGATATCTTTACAGTTTTTTTCACTCTCAGTGAAAGAAACACCTTGTGATTTACAAAGGTAACTTAAGAGTTGCACAGTTATGGGTGGCAGTTCATTGCCATAACCTCGTGAACTCCTGCCCAGAGGACTGAAATTATGCTGAGCTGGACATTTTTCATACATCTAAGTTACATACCCAGCTGCAGCTATCTACAACCCACAGTGCATTTGCTTTCCAGAACACTACACTCAAAAACCACCCTCCCAAACAAACCCCAGAGCCAAATAGTGAGGATGTTAATCTCAAAGGAGATGCTGATCTGAGAAGACACAAGCAAACTCCATTTAGTCCAAATGCAATGGCTTTCCTCCACAGCTTTTAGCCAGCCGACATCTGAACCCACTTACTTTATAGCACACCAGAGTGAAGAAATGTTTATTAGATCCAGTAACCTAAGTGTTTGCACAGATGAAGCAGCAATCGTTCCAGCAGATTTAACTCTGGAGTAAATTTAACTCTGTGGCTCTACACAACAGCCAGCAAGGCCACTCTGTCAAGGCTTCCAATTTTCTCTTTTCCAATGAGAAAATACTCTGCAAAACCTCTGATGGGTCTGGTATTTCCACTGACAGTGAAACAGGGATTGGGGTTTAAAATTGTACTTTTGGGACTGAACTATTAATCCCACTCAGTTGCAATGGGATCTGGGTTTACCTAGACTCTTCTGGAAATCTCACCTTTGGTCATTAAAATAATTTTCTGGCACTGGAATAATATTACATTCTTTAACGAGGACCAGGTCTGAAGGTTTATTCCAGCTTCCCACCTTACAAACATGAGAGATATTATGTTCTCATGTATCAGGAAACAGAATAGCTAGAATAAGGTTCCTGCTTGTTTACGCAAAAGGTACCCCAGTCCTCTGAGGTGTGTGTACCAAGGTAGTTTTCTGTAAGCTCCAGCCGTGTGGTGGCTGGCTGGGCTTTTTTTTTTTTTCCATACAACATGATCTACAATGATGGTTCTGTGTGCCAAATAAAGACCTTCAGCAAGGTTTAATAATTATGGCATATTTGTAAAGGAGGAATTAATGGGGTCTTGCGTGAATTTTGCTGCAGTCCTTGCAGAAATGAAGTCTTATGTTTGTCCTCAGAAGGGATATTAAATCTGAGTAGAGGAGGGAGGGTCTTACTTTGCAGAAGATTCGCATTTTCAGACCAGATCTTGAGAGGTAAATGGGAATGTTGAACCTTCCTACCATGCTAACTTCATACTGACTTCTCAGGACCTGAGTTCAGGCCTGTCACAGAGAAGATTCATTCAGAAAGACTCCTTTAGCTCTACCTGACTTTCCTGTAGTGAAGTCATTATTAGCAGATTGAAAACTTGACAGTAACTGTATCTTGTCTGGCCACACAGAGCCCAGAAGCAGGCCCCATTGAGTTGAAGTGGATAATTGTATTTATTGTGGAAATTCTGGATAGGAAAAATATCCCCAGTGAGGTCAATTTGAAATGTGGTTCAGTCACAATTTATTTCATTTTCTCAGAATGTGTAACAAATCCATACTTTTCCCTCTGCTTCCTTGTTTTTAATGAATGTTCCTCCCCATTCCTCTCTATTTCTTCTAACATATTTTTTTTGCTTTGTTATTTGGGGTTAAAAGGAAGCTCTTCACTTTCAGATGCTCCATCTATATGTTCAGCCTGACACTGCTGTTCAGTTGGGAACTGAAGGGGGCTGATACATTTGTCACCTCAAAACCAAATAGAAAATCCCAGTCTGTGACTGCCTAGAGTGATCATCTTGTCTCAATTATGAATGATTATCAGTCTTGACTAAACTCTACATATGATCATCAGTGCTGTGTCCTAAGTTTAGATTATCTCAGAGGCTGCTTGTTAACTTCCAGAATTCCCACTGGTTTCTGACTACAGGAAAAGGCAGAGATCAGCACAGCTTGATTTAGCAGCACAGAAATGTGTCGATACTTTTGGCATGTGATTCAGTTCTGTAAGAACTTGCTAGGTCTGTGTTTCTCTGGTGTAAATCAAAGTCAGCAGAGTTGCAGAAGAGGCAAATCTGGACAGCTTTTTCTCTGTTTTGCTGTGTTGTTTGCTTTTTTTTTCCAAGAGTTTTGCTCATTTTTCTTTTGGGTGCATAGCATTTTCGCAGAAGTTAAGAGCATAATTCTAACAGCCACATTCAGCACAGTGTACCTCAGCTCCAGTATGTTGGTGACATTGCCAGAGGGAAAGATCCTTCGGATGTAGTTGAAATCTCCAACATAAAGGCTTCCATCAGACCCACATGTTAGGGCAATGGGAGCCAGGAGTTTGTTCCCATCTGCCAGACCATTGCAGCTTGGACAAGAAATGCTACGTCTGCGGCCGTTGCCCATAATGCTTCCAATTACAGGCGGCTGCTGGGAAATGAACTGGTTTTCCCCATTTCCTTTGTGCAAGATGCCTAGAGAGAGAAAACAGTAATAAGGAGATTAAAGAGAGACAGGGAAACTGAGACCAAAAGCAGCACAAACTGACAATGCTGGATGCCAACTGGAGAATTTGTCAAGTAGCAAGGATTTTATCATCTTTCATACTATTGTTTTGTGATAGTTTGAAATGAGGAGCCCCTTATCTGAATTAAGTATTTTTTTTAGACCCATTAAATTTCCTGCAGAAGAAAAATGTGTAGGGAGAACACGATCGTCTTTACCTTTGAATGAAATACACTTTTCAGCATCTCATGAACTTTTACCTGCCCTTTTTGTGCCTCCTTGCCCTGTAATTTGCTGTCTACCAGGCAAAAAAAAGAAATTACATAGCTCATGGAGAGATAAGGGACAGGAAGACCATGGGACATTCTCTAGAGACATGTTTCATCTGCAAAGTTTTAGAAGAGCTCTGCTTATGTTCCCTCTAAGTGCAGTGCTCTCAGCAGTGATGTGGGCTGAATTAGATGTTTGCTCCCATACCACTGCTATTATCCAGAGGGACACAATGGTTCCACCTTTGAATATGTTCTGATCAGCTTTTAGGCCTCCCTGCTGCAGTCCTCAGCAGTCTTCAAGGACTCTGGAACCTTCCATTCTCCCTTATGACCCATGAAGCCTCTCATTTTGCAAGTACACTAGCACACTGGAGGATGCGTCTGGGTGGATTAATGCTCAGTGACAGGTCCAATCTGAATAGGCTCCCCTTTGTTATTTTAGGAATATTTTCTTTGTTAATACCCTTGTTTTGCAACATCACAAAGTTAGACAGGCCAACATTCAACTACTTCATGATGGCCACCTTCTTTTACATTTTTTATACCAAATCACTTCTAAATGTAGGTTACTAGAAATAATTTGTTAGTAAAACACATGAGAGAGCACATGTGTTGGTCAGGTTTCTTTTAATTCCTTTTCTTGTATTCTTAGTGAAAAAAAGAAACCAGGTCTTGTAATGCTGCATTATTCCTGTTATGTGTCACCGACAACCTACCACTTTGTATGTTGAGGGCATGGTGTTTGTCCAGGGACCATCCTCCAAGTTTGGAAGCATCAATTTCATAACCCTGGAGCACAGCTGTCCTCTTCTCCCACAGAATCAAGTCTGGACAGGATTCATACTCATAACCTACTGAAACTGTGAACAAGAGAGAAAGCAAAGCCCCCCCCCAGATGAGCAACCCAGAAATGCAGTGCCAGGACACACAGTCTCAACTGAGCAGGGGTAGGGGCATTTCTACAGGTGACTGCTAATTTAATTGAAAACATGTCATTATGATAATGCACAGTCCTATTATTTTTTATCTTTAAAAAGTCCATTCTGCATTTAAAAAGGTCAATGTAGTTGTAGATGTTGGGCAAATGTGCTAAAAATTTAAAAGGCACTGTTTTAAAGACATATTTTAAAACAATGGATATTAGGATTGGGACTTGATGATCCCTGGGGGTCCCTTCCAACTCAGGATATTCTTT